CATAGACATATAAAGTATAGACTGGAAATTGCGAGGTATTCACTTCGCGACGCGTCGTAGACTACTTCGTGTGAATTCGTGATCGGCGGAAATATCCGAACGCTTCTCTCTGAAGTTTTATGCCGGGAATAGACTATGCGCGCATTCGCGATTCGTGATTCGCGATTCGCGATTATACAAACATATTTTTTGCGTGTATTCGCGTGACTACTACGTAGCTACGTAGCGCATCGCTACGAATCGCGAATCACGAATCGCGAATGCGCGCATAGTCTATTCCCGGCATAAGACGTATCTTCGCATACAAACATATCAAACGCGTGAGCAACAGTCGTCCGTGCGTCGCGTCGTCACGATGCGTCGCGGTCAAAATTCGAAGCGTCGCGGTGAAACGTGAACGCAACAATCGGAAACTTAGTTTCATCGCGTCGAAACGATCTAATGTACGACGTCGACGTAATTCCGCATCGAGCGCTTGGTCGACGATCCTGCACGTTTGTAAGATATTGCGACCGGGTCGCGTTAAAGCGCCGCTCACATAATCGCGCGCCCGCGACAAAGAACAGTCAATTTGATTGGCCTCAATAAAATNTAAACATATCGGACACGCTCGAGCAAATAATGTCGCATGTCGCGCGACAAATCCCGCTATGTATATTAAAATCGCGTCGCGAAAGCGCGACGACGATTCCGTCAAATCGCTCGGGTTCACGACGACGTCTTCGTTATCGCTAAACTCGCAATCGTCGTTAGACGCGTTCGCGACGTTTTGTTAGTTGCGCAACGTTCCCCGCGTCCCCGAGGACACTGTTAGAATGGGAACGTGATCGAGAGAGATGCAATTGGTCGTGGTTTCGGTGTTGTTGAATTGTCCGCGCGTTTCAACGTGCACGATGATTTTACGTAAAGCCGATTTAAATTGCTTCGCTGTAGGATTGTTGTTAAATCCGCCGTGCGCTTGTATATTGCTGAACAATAATTCAACGTGGTCCTGACTGACAAGATACAATGCCAAGTATGACGACTTGTCATTGTCAGAATTTGCAATCACGACGTCGTACAAACGCTTAGCACTAGCCGCGTTGCACACAAAACCTAAAAATCCTGTTCGCACGCGAGTGTGGAGAATTGGTCGATTCGCTTGGCCGACCGTTAGATTTGCAGCGTATTCGGCGCACTCATCGAGTTGCGCGAACGACGAACGATAATTCTCTGAATCTAACGCGCGCTTGTAGCCCGCCTGAGCTCGCGAATGACAATTAAGAACATCGAACGCGTCGTTGAACGTCCGCAAGAACTTCGCGGTTGCTGCGGCACCGCGAAACTGCGGCAGAGCGAGTTCAAATTCGCAAAATTCTAAAGCGGTGGCCACAGATCGACTCAGAGTTTGCGCGGCTACGTTGACCTTCATAATAATAGAGCGAAAGCGAACGTGTCGTTCGCGCAATTTGTTCGCCAGGTGAAAACCTTCGGTCGATTGCAAACGGTGCAAGTGTTTCACGTATCGCCACGAAATCTCACGTCCAGCAGCGTCCACAAGACAGTGTTTCGAGAACACGTTGCGCACCAGTTTCAACATATGACACGCGTCCATAAAAACGCACACGTCGACTCGCGGATCGCGCGGATGCTGAAACCACGAACGCTGAGCTTTAAAGTTGCATCCGAGACGGCGCAGCGCGTTCATGTTGGCTGGCAATCCGTCGCACGTCACAGCGGCGACAATAACACCCGATTCGTACACCGCGGCGATGCATTGTTGTATCATAATGCTTTTTTGAACGGCCGCTACACCGTTGACAAAATAATAAGCTAAAGGAATTTTCCATGATTCNTCGAGACTTACGATGCAAAACACGAGAGCTTCTTTTGCCATAAGCGTAGAATCGCACTCGAGATTGTCACCGTGATTTGNGTAACCCACGTAACGTCCGTTTACATCGATATCGATGTGCTTGCAAATTGCCATTTCGTCAAACACCAACGCAGCGTACGGTCGTCCGTCGGCGCGTCGGGAAGACGGTCGCGAACGCACCCTTCGCGCGATCGCGTCTAATGCGTCAGAATTTATTCCCGGTTCACCGTTTATGGAGCGATACNACGCCGATAACGTGCGCGGATGCGGTAGCGCACCCGTGCATTCGCGTCGTATGAAGCGATAGGCTCGCGGTAAATAATAATGAAGAGACAGAGCAAAGCGACAAATAGACGCCGAGTAACGTCTCGATACCGATCGTTCGAGATCGATTTATTCAGCTCGCCGAGCTAGTTCTTGAAAAGTGGTCGTAGGCAGTGTTCACAGTTTTGGCTTCCTTACAGCATGCTGAAGCGATGGAAGACAGCCCGATGCATGCTTATTCGCTGATCTTTGT